GGAAGGATTTATTTAAAAAAACTGAAGCGGAGACTTCCAGATTGAGATGTCAGTCGCCGAGCGATGTGATTGGCTGACATTTTGTACAATTACTTTTTTTTAAAGTTCGTTGCTCAGTGATGGCGGCCCGCGCGCAATTTCTGAATCAGATGAGACGCAGAACGTTCTGGATCTTATTGGAATCGCACATTGTGCGTTCAAACGTCCACTTCCCATTGGCAGCCGCGGCGCGTTGGCGTCAAATCGCTCTTCTCTGTGCCGGGATCAGGCGAGAATTTTATAGATCCGATTTCATGGAAAACGAAGATAAAAAAAGGAGAGAAAAGGGTTTCGTCGATGTTGTAAGAAAAGAGGAAATGATGAGTCACAAAAAGTAAAATGACAGAATTGGAAACAATTGTAATGTCTGTGACCAGAAAATGATTCAATTCACGGCCAATTATCACCGAAAGTGACCGGAGATTGGCTGGACTCCACAGGAGACACGGGGACAGGAAATGAGGGGGTCACCAGGACAGGGAAAAAAAGAACGGGTGTCACCAGTACAAGAATTGGGAGAAAAGGGGTGTCACCAGGACAAGAGATGAGGGGGAACGGGTGTCACCAGGACAAGAGATGAGGGGGAACGGGTGTCACTAGGACAAGAGATAAGGGGGAACGGGTGTCACCAGGACAAGAGATGAGGGGGCACGGGTGTCACCAGGGCAAGAGATGAGGGGGCACGGGTGTCACCAGGGCAAGAGATGAGGGGGCACGGGTGTCACCAGGGCAAGAGATGAGGGGGCACGGGTGTCACCAGGGCAAGAGATGAGGGGGCACGGGTGTCACCAGGGCAAGAGATGAGGGGGCACGGGTGTCACCAGGGCAAGAGATGAGGGGGCACGGGTGTCACCAGGGCAAGAGATGAGGGGGCACGGGTGTCACCAGGGCAAGAGATGAGGGGGCACGGGTGTCACCAGGGCAAGAGATGAGGGGGCACGGGTGTCACCAGGGCAAGAGATGAGGGGGCACGGGTGTCACCAGGGCAAGAGATGAGGGGGCACGGGTGTCACCAGGGCAAGAGATGAGGGGGCACGGGTGTCACCAGGGCAAGAGATGAGGGGGCACGGGTGTCACCAGGGCAAGAGATGAGGGGGCACGGGTGTCACCAGGGCAAGAGATGAGGGGGCACGGGTGTCACCAGGGCAAGAGATGAGGGGGCACGGGTGTCACCAGGGCAAGAGATGAGGGGGCACGGGTGTCACCAGGGCAAGAGATGAGGGGGCACGGGTGTCACCAGGGCAAGAGATGAGGGGGCACGGGTGTCACCAGGGCAAGAGATGAGGGGGCACGGGTGTCACCAGGGCAAGAGATGAGGGGGCACGGGTGTCACCAGGGCAAGAGATGAGGGGGCACGGGTGTCACCAGGGCAAGAGATGAGGGGGCACGGGTGTCACCAGGGCAAGAGATGAGGGGGCACGGGTGTCACCAGGGCAAGAGATGAGGGGGCACGGGTGTCACCAGGGCAAGAGATGAGGGGGCACGGGTGTCACCAGGGCAAGAGATGAGGGGGCACGGGTGTCACCAGGGCAAGAGATGAGGGGGCACGGGTGTCACCAGGGCAAGAGATGAGGGGGCACGGGTGTCACCAGGGCAAGAGATGAGGGGGCACGGGTGTCACCAGGGCAAGAGATGAGGGGGCACGGGTGTCACCAGGGCAAGAGATGAGGGGGCACGGGTGTCACCAGGGCAAGAGATGAGGGGGCACGGGTGTCACCAGGGCAAGAGATGAGGGGGCACGGGTGTCACCAGGGCAAGAGATGAGGGGGCACGGGTGTCACCAGGGCAAGAGATGAGGGGGCACGGGTGTCACCAGGGCAAGAGATGAGGGGGCACGGGTGTCACCAGGGCAAGAGATGAGGGGGCACGGGTGTCACCAGGGCAAGAGATGAGGGGGCACGGGTGTCACCAGGGCAAGAGATGAGGGGGCACGGGTGTCACCAGGGCAAGAGATGAGGGGGCACGGGTGTCACCAGGGCAAGAGATGAGGGGGCACGGGTGTCACCAGGGCAAGAGATGAGGGGGCACGGGTGTCACCAGGGCAAGAGATGAGGGGGAACGGGTGTCCCCAGGACAAGAAATCAGAGGAATTGGGTGTCGCCTCCCATTGAGGTTCTGGTCGTCTTCCATGTCACGTGTCTTGAAGGGTCTGGACTTCTTCTGATGATCAGTAGAGGAATTTGTCATCTTGAACATTTGGGGATCATTGGGCTGGGAGGGGGTCTGGTGTGCGGCTCCCTCTATTTTAGTTGTATTGATCGGTGATCGCTCCTCGGGGTTCCACTTTATACATCTGTGTATATAATAAACTTACTACACATTTCTATGTTGTGTCTTATTCATCTTTCCATGCTCGGCCTCCTCTACTACGAGCAGCAAGCACCACACACAGGTTCTGCCCCTTCCCCGCTCTAACAGAAACCTGTCCGGAGTTCCCCTTTAATATGTCCGGACCTTTGATCACGTGAAGAAACTCTTTGAACTCTCTGTGTAACGTGGAAGGAATGTTCCCGTCGAAGTGATTTGGATATAAAGAGGAGACGAGCTTCTTGTTTTATTTCCAATCTCAGACCGAAAACATCGATTGGCCACGGCTGTGTAACGGCAGAGTCATGAGCCAGGAGGTGGGCAGGGGGCAGCTCACATGCGCCTCTAGGAATGTAGTCTGTCCCTGATGTCTCCATTCAGCCACTAGCGCTTACCATCAGGGGTAGGCATCCTCAGCACTCCAGCTGTTGTGGAACTACAAGTCTCATGAGGTATTGCAAGACTCTGACAGGAATTATGGCCACTAGATGGACCTGCGGAGCATAGGCCATGAATGCTTATTTCCTTAGCACCACCTAGTGGCCATAATGCAACATTACTTATTTCCTATGCTCCTCAGCTCCACCTAGTGGCCATAATGCAACATTACTTATTTCCTATGCTCCTCAGCTCCACCTAGTGGCCATAATGCAACATTACTTATTTCCTATGCTCCACCTAGGGGCCATAATGCAGTATTACTTATTTCCTGTGCTCCTCAGCACCACCTGGCCATGATATAGTATTACTTGTTTCCTATGCTCCTCAGCTTCATCTAGTGGCCATAATATAGTATTGCTTATTTTCTGTGCTCCTCAGCACCATCTAGTGGCTATAATGTGATATTACATATTTCCTGTGCTCCTCAGCACCACCTAGTGGCCATAATGTGGTATTTTTTCCTATGCTCCTCAGCACCACCTAGTGGCCATAATATAGTATTACTTATTTCCTCCATCTAGTGGCCATAATGTAGTATCACTTATTTCCTGTGCTCATCAGCACCATCTAGTGGCCATAATGTAGTATTACTTATTTCCTATGCTCCTCAGCACCACCTAGGGGCTATAATGTAGTATTACTTATTTTCTGTGCTCCTCAGCACCACCTAGTGGCCATAATGTATTATTACATTACATTATATATGCTCCTCAGTACCATCTAGTGGTCATATTCTAGAATTACTTATTTCCTATGCTGCTCAGGACCACCTAGGGGCCATAATATAGTGTTACTTATTTCCTATGCTCCTCAGCACCACCTAGTGGCTATAATATAGTATTATTTCCTCCATCTAGTGGCCATAATGTAGTATTACTTATTTCCTATGCTCCTCAGCACCACCTAGGGGCTATAATGTAGTATTACTTATTTTCTGTGCTCCTCAGCACCACCTAGTGGCCATAATGTATTATTACATTATATATGCTCCTCAGTACCATCTAGTGGTCATATTCTAGAATTACTTATTTCCTATGCTCCTCAGCACCACCTAGTGGCCATAATGCAGTATTACTTATTTCCTCCACCTAGTGGCCATAACGTGGTATTACATCACATCTGACCTGAAGATAAAATACACAAAGAACGTTCGTTTTTGCCTCTATTCACACAGAACGAGCGTTCACAGAGATTCACAGGGGTGAATGGCTCTGCGAATAGTTTATTACTGGACCCCAAATATATGTTTCTTTAAATGATAATTATTGTCATCGCCCATGTGTCTTCTCTCTGCAGACCGGACGCCTGGATAAGTCTCAGCCCGTCATTTGTGGTCACACGGCCGCGGTGCTGGACGTCGATTGGTGCCCCCACAATGATAATGTCATCGCCAGTGGCTCAGAGGACTGCAGCGTCATGGTAAGATCGCTGTGCACATCTTCAGACATTGTCATAGTTTCCCTGACAGAACTCAGGGTTTTTTTTTCTTGCTGTTCCACATTTCGATCAGCGTATCTCCTATGCAGTGGTATAAATGCTTCCTCTAGTGGTTCTGTATTGGAAGGAAGTTTAGGACTCAGACACCTATAGCCCATATCAGGGACGGGGTGGGGCTTTTTTCCGGCCAGGAACAGGAGGCTGCGGCCCTTGATCAGGGTATACCTGCACTGAGCGGAACAGTAAAGTGCAGTCACTGTATCCTACTATATCGCCACCTTATACTGCGTGTTGTGTGTGTACAATATCCCCCCTTCTGTCTTCCAGGTGTGGGAGGTCCCGGACGGAGGTCTGACTCGCTCTCTCACAGAACCCATCGTCACCTTGGAAGGGCACACAAAGCGAGTGGGCATTGTCCTCTGGCACCCGACCGCCCAGAATATATTGCTGAGCGCAGGTAAAAAACTGATGAGCTCCGTACTGCAGAGACGGAGCTCCAAGCTTTAAAAAAAAAAAAAAAGAAGACCTGATTGCTGTGTGATGAGGTTTGTTTATAAACAAAGTCATGTGATCAGTTATGTGGTCACCTGATCAAGCTAGGATTAATCCCCCCCATGGACAGGAAAAGTGCTCCAAGCTTTAGAAAATACCTCATTGCTGTGTGATGGTACTTTGTTGATAAACAAAGTCATGTGAGCGCAGTCATGTGGCTTTTGTTTACCAACACAACCATTGGGGGTCACATGAGCAAGCTAGGATTAATCTCCTCCCCCCAACAAGGAGTCATGTGATCGCAGTCATGTGGCTTTTGTTTACCAACACAACCATTGGAGGTCACCTGATCAAGCGAGGAGGAATCTCCTCCCCCTCAAACAAGGAGTGAACGGGAAAAGCGCTCCAAGCTTTAGAAAAGACCCCATTGCTGTGTGATGAGACTTTGTTGATAAACATCGCCATGTGATCGCAGTCATGTGACATTTGTTTACCAACAAAACCATGAATGATCACCAGGTCAAACTAGGACTTAACCCCTTCCTTCCAGCGGGAGTCGGCCCTTTAAAGATGTCCAAATGCTGGAGGTGTTTCCTTGGCTATGCCCTCCCCCCCCGGAGCCAGCCCTTGAAGGACACCAAAGGGCCGGAGGCATTTCCTGAGCTTCCCAATCATGTGATCAGAGTTATTGGTGGTTACAGTGGCCAGGCGATCAGAAGGAACTAGAAAAATCTCTCCAAAAGTCAGATCGCTGTGTGACGTGGCTTTCTGCTAAACAAAGCCATGTGATTGCAGTGGAATCTCCTCCCCCTCAAACAAGGAGTGAACGGGAAAAGCGCTCCAAGCTTTAGATATGACCCGATCACTGTGTGATGTGGCTTTGTTGGTGAACAAGGCCATGTGATCACAGTCATGTGACCTTTGTTTACCAACAAACCCAAAACCATTGCTGATCACCTGGTCAAGCTAGGACTTTACCCCTTTCTGCCACCAGGACTCAAAGGGAAATGTGCTCCAAGCTTTATAAAAGGCCCTATAGCTGTGTGATGTGGCTTTATTTGTAAACAAAGCCATGTGATCGCAGTCATGTGACCTTTCTTTACAAACAAAACCATTGCTGATCATCAGGTCATGAGCTTCTCGATCATGTGATCACTGTGATTGGCTGTCACAGGAGCCCGTCCTAGCAGCTCCCAATTGTAAACAGGTTCTGGGGGCTGTCAGCGACAGCTCAATCACAGTGCCGGGGGTACGCAATTGATCACGCTCCCAGCACAAAACAGCAACGCCGGCTGTATACATATATGTGGCACTGTGGCACAAAGCCCGCTGCCACATACATGTGCATGCCCAACAGAAGCATGAACTCTTTTTTTAGCTTCCTGGAGAAAAAGCTCCTCTTGGCTCCCTCCAGTGCCGGTTCCATAGTCAAAAGCCTAGAAGTTTTGCCCCATGGTCTCTTTAAAAGGGGAAGAAGAACAGAGACCAGATCGGCCAGTCTCCCCTTTCAGCAGAGATCATGTGACCTGGGGTTCAGAAGCAGCACTGGAGGGAGACTGGAGCAGCCTGTTCTCCGGGGAAGGTAGGCCTTCCGGCCCTTCTTTCGCTCTATATCCAACCCAGGAAGACGCTTTTAATCCCTGCTCTTCCCCTCCCCAGGCTGTGACAACGTCATCCTGATCTGGGACGTGGGCTGCGGCCAGTCCGTCATCTGCATAGACGAGACGCACACGGACCTCATCTACAGCGTGGCCTGGAACCTGGACGGCAGCCTCATCTGCACCTCGTGTAAAGACAAGAAGATTCGGATCATGGAGCCCAGAGCCGGGACCATCGTGGCGGTACGTCTGCTGGACATGGGAGCACAGGGATGATAGGCAGCCAATCAGATCTCAGGTACCCTCAGGACAGGCGCAGAGCTTCACGAGATCCAGACCTAGATTGTGTTTGCCTCTTGCAGGAGAAGGAAAAGCCCCACGAAGGCAGCAGACCGGTCCGCGCCATCTTTGTGTCCGATAATCAGATTCTCACCACTGGATTCAGCAGGATGAGCGAGAGGCAGTTGGCCTTATGGGACACGGTAAGTCACCTGTGCAGGAAGATGGCCAACCTTCGTAGATCTCCAGACACACCCCCATAACCCGAATCCCTCTCCCTACAGAAGTCCCTGGACGAGCCGCTGACCCTGCAGGAGCTGGACACCAGCAGCGGCGTCCTCATCCCGTTCTTCGACCCCGACACCAACATCGTGTACCTGGGAGGCAAGGTAACTGACCTGCGAGGGGGACTCCGCCTTTTAACGGAGCACTCCGTTCTAAGCAATGACTGTTCTTTTCTAATAGGCAACTACCATACTTCCAACATTGTGGTCCTAGAACACTGGTAACCCCGCCCACATTCCCTATTTAATCCACCCACTTCGGGTGAGCTTGACTTAATCACACCCACTTTACAGACATGGCCTCTAAATATGTATCACACCCACTTTACAGACCTGGCCTCTAAATATGCAGAGACCGCCCATCACACCCACTTTACAGGTGGTCCGGCCCAGACTCCACCTCTAAATATGCAGAGACCGCCCATTACACCCACTTTACTAGTTAGTCCCACCCAGACTATAATCCCAAACAATTTACTGATTGATCCCTCCCAGACTCAGTCACTAAATATACAAAGGCCACCCATCATACCCACTTTATGGGTTGGCTCCACCCTAACCCCACCTCTAAATATGCTGGAACCTGCCACTGGTGACCCCTAACCCCACAATTAATATTTCGTTTTACACTACTCATCACACCAACTTTATTAGTTGGTCCCAGCCATACCCCGCATCTAAATATGCAGAGACCGCCCATCACACCCACTTTACAGGTGGTCCCACCCACACTCAGCCTCTACATATACAAGGACCGCCCATCACACCCACTTACAGGTGGTCCCACCCACACCCAGCCTCTACATATACAAGGACCGCCCATCACACCCACTTACAGGTGGTCCCACCCACACCCAGCCTCTACATATACAAGGACCGCCCATCACACTTGCTTTATGAGTAAGTCCCACCCAGACCCCACCTCTATATATGCTGGACCAATCCACTGGTGACCCCAACATGTGCAATAACTCAAATAAGGTTGACGCTGTGATCCCGGGACATCATTGATGGGACAGGGGACCAGGCACATGCTGATAACAGTAACTTTCCACTGACAGGGGGACAGCAGTATCCGGTATTTCGAGGTGACGGACGAGGCCCCGTACGTCCATTATCTGTCCTTGTACAGCAGCAAAGAGTCCCAGCGAGGAATGGGCTACATGCCCAAGAGGGGGCTGGAGGTCAACAAGTGCGAGATCGCCAGGTCAGTACACTGTACGGAGATTTGTAGTGATGACGGGCCCTGGAACTCCATACCTGGAGGTTGTACAATCAGATGGTTGCGTGTATGGTCAGATGTGGAGACCTCTCTGACCTCACGGCTCTTTTTCAGGTTTTACAAGTTGCACGAGAGGAAGTGCGAGCCGATCGCCATGACTGTGCCCAGGAAGGTAAGAGGGCCCCCCTCCGGTATGGGATTGGGAGGGGAGGAGCAATGAGGTCATTATGTGACCAGCCACGTCTCTCTTGCAGTCAGACCTCTTTCAGGAGGACCTGTACCCGGACACGGTGGGCCCGGATCCGGCTCTCACCGCGGAGGAATGGTTATCGGGGAAGAACGCCGGGCCCCTGCTCATCTCCCTGAAGGACGGATATGCTCCAAGCAAAGGCAGGGAGCTCAAAGTCACCAAAAATATCCTCAGCGGCCGCCTGCCCCAGCGCAGCCAGTCGTCCAATGGAGGCAAAGCGGTAAGTGGTCACATGGGCACCTGCGAGGAATACTTGTGCCTATAAAGTCAAGTTTGCATTAATAAGCAGAGATGCTAAGCCACTGCTGGGAGGGCGAGCTGAGCTGCTGAGTCATAGCAGGGAGGGGGAGCAGGGAGAGTTGAGCTGCTGAGTCACAGCAGGGAGGGGGAGCTGGACTCCTAAATCACTGCTGGGAGGAGAGCAGGAATAGTTAAGCTTCTGAATCACAGCTGGGAGGAGTGAGCTGGTCACCGAGTCGCTGCTGAGAGGGAGGAGCAGGGAGAGTTGAGCTGGTGAGACACTGCTGGGAGGGGGAGCAGAGCTGGTCACCGAGTC